AAAAAACAAATTCGCACTCATTAACACAACGATTACTACCAACAGGATATTTATCATTTCTACATCTACTTTCTGTGATTCCACCTTATTGACAATTCCTGCAGTGGAATCTACTACCTTAGTGTCTATCAAACCCATTTTGGGTATATTACTTATTTTATCGGTAACTATGCCACTTTTATATGGCTTATATATTTCTATCTGATCTATCTTACTTATACTATTGCTCCTCATTCATACTATTAAAAGATTGACAATTTTCCTGCCTATTTGTTCGTACAGCTTTACGGGCTGTACTTCTAATCGGGCAGAAAAGGTTCCGCTCAATTTTACAATTTTCCTTATTAATTATTTTACAATTTTCTTATTGGCTATTTTTTTTTTACAATTTTTCTTACATATATATATTTTAACTTAAATATGCATTACAAATTTTGCATTATAAGTTTTTATCTTTGCTTAATCATTAAATTTTCCTCTGGTGTCCCTTTTTGGGATTGTCGTCTTGTGGCGTCCGCATCAGCTGGACGTCGCCGGTGTGGCACGCTGATGCTCCCTCGTTGTCGCTGGTGGTGGTTTGCCTCCCGCACTTGTCGCTATTTGATGTGGTGTATTCCCGCATCAGCTGGGCGTCGCCGGTGTGGCACGCTGATGCTCCCTCGTTGGTGCAAGGGGCGGCCTGCCTCCCGCACTTACAGTTGTCGTCGGCGTTTTTCCAGCGGTGGTGCAAAAGGCGGTCCTATGCCTTTCACACTTACTGCTCCTAATTGCGTATCGTGCAGTGGCGGCACGTGTACTCGCAGTGTGGGGTGTGCAATGGTCCCTCGCAGTCCGTTGGGCAGCTTTTTGCGTTCCTTGGCAGTTGCTTGGGTGAAGGCGGTAAAATTATTTCACGTTTATTTATATTTTCAATACGAGTGGAGCGAGTTGCGGAGTCGGGTTTCGCATTTTTGCTTATTGACTTTAAATAGTCAAGTTCTGCCTGCAATTTTTGGGCCGTTGTCCACGCGGGTGGTGTTGCAGTTGAGAATAAAAGCCACTTTAAATGTGCTATTCTCTTATTAATTTTATTGTGCACACCTCCGCGTTTACCCATCACTCGCGCACTCTACTCACTCAGTATTTTTATTGTGTTGATGTCCATGCCAAGCTCCGTCTTCCGAATTTTAAAGTTGTCCTCCTGCCGTTATTATGGTCGTTTTTATGGTATATCAGCTCCTCTGTCCTTGGTCCTCCAGGACCACTATCACGGTCCTATGTAGGACACTGTCACGGTCGCCATGTAATAACATACGTACTTTTTATTATGAGTTTTTATTAATTATTTATTAACTTTTATGACACTCAATCTTAAAACTTGAACTTATACTGATTTCTTACATTTTACTTAAAATGAACTTAGCTAAGGCCTCGTAGCTGCGCTGCCAGAGACGCCGGCAGCGGAGCGGCCGCATTATGTATTTTACTTATGTATTTGTACTCAGCGCTGTTGGCAGCGAGAGCGCGAGGGAGAATGTTATGTGCACTTGAGGTGGCTGACACTAGTTGCACTGACGCTGCACTTATGTCGCCCAATGCATGTGCGATCATATTACATCGCGTCCGAATTATGCTTGGCTTTTTTTGAATTAATTTATTCACTGCAATAAAGTGTTACAGTGTATGTTCTTAAGAGTGCACTGCGTACAGTGTGTACTCCTTATGTATGCACACTACACTCGAAATGTAAGCAAATATTTTAATTTAATTGTGTTTTTTTTTTTCGAGTGTAGGCACCTCCTTTGGTAGGAGATAGAAATAAAGTGAAATATTTACATTATACAATTACAGTCGACCTCGAACTATCAAAAACGTTGTCCTTTTAAAGGATAGTTATATCTTTGTTGTACAGATAATATTATATTTTAAGTTAGTTATAATGGAAAAGAATGCATTTAAGTTGGCATTATATATTTACATTCAAGGTTGCAACTAATTAGGCCCCGCAGTGGGGAAGTGTTTGCTTTTCGGTCAATTGGCTTGAAACTTGGATGTGATTAAGAAGATTAATTTAATTAATATAGTATGTATATAAATATAAACTATACATGTGACCAACTTTTCAGTAAGGTGTGTTAAGTAAAGTACAAATTTGTTTTCAGTGTAAATGAACAAATGCCATAGGCCTTAAACGACTTTAAAGCAATTAACTTTTTTATTTATTTTAAAGTTGCAGTTAAAAATGGTCTTGCATGAAATTATTAACCAAACATATAACAATGTGAGGTCTTTATCTGCATCCGCTTTGTTTTCAATAATAAACAAGTTTGTTTTATAGCGAAAAGCCATTAAATTAATAAAATGTGTCAATTTATGCAATTTATCCCATAAAGTATGTTTCAGCTCAGATTTATGATACCTTCGAAGACTCGAAGCATTTTTACAGACTTCAGCTTTATGTTTATTCGGATGTATTTCAGTAGTTCGGCAAATTTGCATTTTATATACATACATGTACGATTATATCCAAGGTGCCGCGGCTGTAGGACTTACAGAAATTATTCTTTTGTTTGTAAGAATTATAATGGGACAAGACAGATCAGACATAGTATTCATTTGTTCATAGGCTATTGAAAACAGAAAATACTAATTTAGAAAAAATGGTTTGGCTATAAATAGGAAATTAAATTTCTTTTGCCTAAGCATTAAGTTTAAATAATAAATTATTTTTCAAGCATGAAATTAATAAATGGAGGAGTGTAACGTTAAAGACGTGCCAGCTTGACTTTTGAACACCCTCTACCAAATGTTTTCCCCTCTACAGTCTTTCAACTAAAATCTATATTGACAGTAGTTAACCGATTTCATTTGATATTCAAATTATAGTGAGAAATTCATACTCCAGAAAGTTTTTGGTGCTAAGATTGACTTTTGCGCCAAACACTCCTATGGAAACTACTAAATATGATATAGTATTTTGATTTTAATGAACCTTTAGAAGATACACTATTTAAAACTCATGAATACCAGATTTTCTTTAAGATATCTTCATTAAAAAAATACTATACAACTGTGAGTGAATTTTTCACCGAGCGGTTCTATGGCAGCTATATAAAATAATGATATATATGGTTTCCTATAAACTTGCTATGCATGCGAATGGGATAAGCATACGTACAATGTTTGGTGTCCCTAGCTGTTATGGTTTAACAGTTCTAGGTGTTCATACAGACGGACGGATGCACGGACGGACACATGAGTGCATTGTATTCATGCAAATGGTCATAAATAGGATTTGTCATTTTAATGATCCAAATCGCTAGGATTTTGGGTGATTAGATTAGACAAAAAGACATCAATAACACTTCCTTCCTGGAAAACAGGAGCGAAAAAAAAAATATAACGATTCGGAATTAAACAAGATAGAAAAACAAGAGAATGTATTTTGTTCTATTCTTTATAGGTCTTATAAGTGTCCGTATTATCGATGTTATACTGTACAAAAAAAAAAATCCAAATTACTATTATTATATGAATCTATAATATATTTTCTAGTTTTGCGCTGTTTATCGTTTTTCTATTCTTTTCTGCTAAATTTTATAATGCGGCAATCATATGGAAATGAAAACTACACAAAAAATTTAATAAATCGTGTATTAAAAACACGATAGAATGCAACAGTCTAGCAAGCCCGACAGCTAAATACCCTAAGCCCAAACAAACTTCCGTCAGAGGCAAAAAGAAGAAGAACGAACTCCCTGCTGCAGTTTGAGGGCGATTTGGATGAAATTTGAAACAAACAAATTAGGTTCGGCCAGTGTATTTGAGCACTATTAACATTCGGTGGCGATGGGAGAGAAATAAGATAAACTCGTATTGCCTGGGGATTAGGAGAGTCTACAAACCAAGTTTCAAAGTGTTGGGTTCAGTCGTTTCCGAAATTCAGGCGTTCATCCAGACGGACGGTCGATGTATCGATTTCTCTCGTCCTGCTGATTTAGAATATATATATGCATTTTAAAACCTAATATACCCTTTTTACTCTTCAGGTACAGGGTATAATAAGAAATGAGTAATGGAGTTAAGCATCAAAAAGACTTTTTAGGAATATTAGATTTCCAATACTTGATGATTGGAGCCAACGCCTTCGATGGCGATTGCTGCAATCGGCCATTAATGAAATCATAACTCATTAATTAATAATTGTTGTGTGCGTTTGTGTTTGTTGCCAATTTATTTGCCATAACTTAAAACAATCGAATTAAAATACTGAATATTTGATAAATTAATGAAGCGCGTGGAAATAGTGGGAGCAGTATATATGTATGTATGTACATATGTATTTATAGAGATGTTGGCTGATTATTATTTATGGATGGCACTATGTGTGTCTGTCACCAGGAAATAACAAATTACACAAACTATAGTGTGCCATTAGCCATATGGCTTAAATCCGGTCAAGTGAGCAAAATGGAAATTTGCTTAAATTATGAACATTTTGTCTGTTGTTGTCTTATGTATGTATATAGTATAGTATATGGCATGAATGAACGCGATCGTGGCGAATGGCAATGCACATGAAATTGGGGCTCGTTGCCCGTCTTTGTCCGTTTGTTGTGTGTTTGTGTGTGTGAGTGTGTGTTTGTGTGTGTGTGTGTGTTGGAAATCGGGTTAATGTTAATGCGCGAAACGAAAAACTTGTTATGGCCAAACAATGCATACCACAGTCGAGCAGATCCCCTCTTTCTCTGTAGATCTGCAGATGCTGGCAAGGCACGGGCCCATAGCGACAGACTCGCTGGCTGGGAACAGGAGTTCGGGGCAGGGTGACACCTACAGGCCAATGGCATGACCAGGCAGAACCTTTTTTGGGGGCGCTCTCATCTGGGACGCCCGCTTACGATATATAAGAATGCAATGCGCCGCAGTTTCGGCTTCAGTGCATTGCCTGGCCTGGCTACGGGTTCGTCATCAGTCAGTTCGTCACCAGAGACCACTTCGTTCCTAATCTACTTATAATAATGTATTATAAAGGAGCCATCGTCGTCGCCATGCAGTTGTGCCTGTTCTTTTGCTGCCTCTTGCTGGGCGGCTCTGTGCCACACAAGTCCCCCATGGCCAGTAAACTGATCTTGAGCAGCGATCAGGAGCCAGAGCCCATGACTTATCAGTTCATAACGGAATATTGGCCCACCATGCTGGGTGCCAACTATTACATCAAGCCGGGCAATGTTGTCGGCAGCTTCAGTGTCGACTCCGGCACACTCCACTTCCGTCAGGAGGACGCCAGCAAGCCCATGAAGCATCTGAGCAGCAAGCACAACATTCTATTCGTGGCCTCTCCGAAGGATCAACCCGAACAGCCCAAGCCACAGCAGTCGGAGCAGAAGGGAAAGGGTGTCTAATACTGGGCCCTGGAACCACAACAATAGTTCAAATGGATGATAACTATTAGTTAGTTAAAGGCCGTTATTTATATTAACATCACACCTTGTAAGAATACAGCAATTTATTGCTAAAATATTTTATTACTTTTTTTTTATTTTAGATATATTTTGTATAAAACAAAGACACCGTTATACGTTGAAAGAATTAAAAAAAAAAAACGTTTTTAAAGCGAAAAAAATGTCTTAAGATAAAGATTTAATATTAAAAAGGCAACTTTATCATTGTTAAACAATAATAATTGAAATAACTGAATTGAGTAATTTAATGATAAACTATTGGGTCAACCTTAAGATGTTATAATGTGCAAAGTTTTGGTCATGCTTGGGCTTACGGGAAATGTGGAACTCCTCCTCTTAATAAAGTCCCATGAAAACTTGATAGATCGATTCATTTGTGCGATAAATTGTGTTACACATGAATGCCAGTAAGAACAATTCGGGATACTATGTACTTATGTATGTATGTACATATATTTACAAATATTATTATTTTTATACTCTGCACCCAAAGGGTAAAGGGGTATACTAGTTTTGTGCGAATGTATGTAACATACAGAAAGAGGCGTGGCATGCAAAGGAAACTGTACATAAACATACATATATGTATGCATATGGATGTCTCCATTTATGTATTTATTGAATATTTTTATTTATTTTTTTTCACACAATTTCTTCACCACTTAAATCCACTCCAACGCATCAAATACCCAAACACTTGCTACGCCTCACACGTTTGGCAGGCGCGCGAGAGCTGATTTACAGTTATGATTTTTGATTCCTTGCCTCTACCTTTGCATTCTTAAGAGAGCATTCTGCTGGCAGCTGCAGCGCCATTGGAGTTGCCGCGAACTCTTGTAAAACGTTTAGTTAATAGTTAAAATATTAGTTTAAAATACGTGAAAACATACAATATGTATGTACATATAAAGTTGTGTGTATTAAGAAGTGTGCATAATATGTGTTTAATAATGTGAAAATGCCGCGCGAATTACGCGCTGTAAACATACATATATATTTATCTGTGTATGTGTGCATGTGTTTGTGATCCCAAATAAATTGCGCAATGCATCAATTTTTGTCTTGTTTTTTAAGTGGTTATAATTGTGATTTAAATGAATAAAGTTGTGCAATTTTGAAATGAATGTAAAGGTAAGTACGTGGTTACTCTAGAATAAATAATAACTTTAACTTTTAACTTAACTTTAACATAGTATGTGTGTACATGCATGTAAACATATTTGTATGTGTGTATGCTTGTGCGTGTAACATTTCATGCACAAGCCTCTCAATTAGGCTTGACATTGGCAGACAAACTGTCACCATAACATAACAGAGGCACAAAATGAGAATGAAGAAAACTCAATGTAAAGCATTTGCCGTATTATTTGTATAACAGAATTCTATCTTGGTTACATTTGTGTTTTGAGGCAGTTGTATGAAGATGTATGAACAAATGCTCGAACGGGGCGATCGACTTGTCGTAAAGAATGAAGAGAGTGCCGTTAGATCAATTGGTTAGGGCAAGAGAGTGTTAGATTTATCTTAAAAATTCGTAGGAAAAATAACTAGACACATGTAACTTTCATGTTCTATTTTCAAATTTGCTTCAAGCTGTTCCAGAAATGGGGTATGGCATGATATCTGAAGAGAAAAGCTGTAGCTTCTTTAGATTGTTCTTGTTGGATTTATCTTAAAAATTCGTAGGAAAAAATAAGCACACACTATGCTTGATCTATTTGCAAATTTCGTCGAATTTGTTTGAAAACCTATTTAAGCTTCAAGCTGTTCCAGAAATGGGGTGTGGAATGGTATCTGGTCAGAATAGCTGTAGCTGCTTTCTGTTTAATCCATTATTTAGCCCAATTATCATGGAATCGAAATGCGTTTTTATAAGTTTCGTTGAGCATTAATGTTTATTGTACAAAAAAAAGTTCCTCAAAAAAAAAGTTCGATAATTGCATCCCCTTCCGGTTGGGCTTTCCGGCCGTTGACTTAGCGTCTGTAGACATAGCCACCGTTGGAGCCATAGACGGTGTCGATACCCGAGCGGGTAGCGACGGAAGGAGCGGAGTAGCTGGAGCGCGTGTAGCTGGCAGCGGCAGCGGGAGCAGTGTAGGACTGGCTGCTGTAGGTGGAGGCAGCTGGGGCGGCATACGACTCGCTGGTGTACGAGGCAGCTGGGGCAACGGGAGCGGCATACGACTGGCTGCTGTAGGTGGAGGCAGCTGGAGCGGCATAGGACTGACTGCTGTAGGTGGAGGCAGCTGGAGCGGTGTACGACTCGCTAGTGTACGAGGCAGCTGGGGCTACAGGAGCGGCATACGACTGGGTGTTGTAGGTAGCGGCGGCAGCGGGAGCAGCATAGGACTGGCTGCTGTAGGTGCTGGCGGCAGCAGCAGGCGCAACATAGGATTGAGTGGCGGCAGGAGCGGTATAGCTGGCGGTTGCTGGGGCCGTGTAGGTGGTGGCGGCGGCAACTGGAGCGCTGTACGATTGGCTGCTGTATGTGCTGGCAGCTGGGGCGGCATACGACTGCGAGGTGTATGTGGCAGCGGCAGCGGGGGCAGTGTACGACTCGCTGGCGTACGAGGCAGCTGGGGCAGCAGGAGCGGCATACGACTGGCTGGAGTAGGTGGAGGCGGCAGGAGCCGAGTACGACTCGCTGCTGTAGGTGGTGGCGGCAGCAGCTGGTGCGCTATACGACTCGCTGGAGTATGTGGCAGCGGGGGCTGGTGCGGCAGCAGTGTAGGTGTTGGTGGCAGCCACAGCTGGGGCCGAGTAGGACTGGCCGCTGTACGTGCTTACGGCTGGGGCGGAGTAGGTGCTGGCTGCGGCAGCTGGTGCCGAATACGAGGAATAGGTGGTGGAGGCGGCGCCGCTTCTGGGTGGCAAGTAGGTGTTGCTCAGGTGGCTAACATCGGCGGCGGCCAGAGCCACAAGGGCGAGCGAGATGGCGGCGAAGAATTTCTGCGAAGGAATAATCAAAGGAGTTGTCAGTTGTTTAGTTGTCTCGCAACACATCGAAAGAATATAGCTTGTTAAGTCGGCATTATGTTGTTCTTCAGTTGATTTTTTGTTAAATGCAGCACACAATTGCGGTAAAAACAAAAAAATAACATAACTTTTGACATAACTTTATCAAAAAACAATTTGTTAACAACGTTCTTCGACGATTTGAGCACTAATTGGTGTTTCATGTTTTCGAGCGTATCGTTGACTATATCGCTGACTATATATCCTTACGGTTGGTCAACTAACCATTTTTATTTGGTGCTGGTGCTGCTAATGCTGCTGCTACGACGGCGCTAGTTGATTAACTAACTTATTGCTAGCACATCCTAACCTATTTATAGTCAAACCACAAGCTCATGAAATGCCAAAAGGAAGCTGGCGAGAAGAGCAACAACAGCAACATTAACAGCAGCAACAACAACAGTAACAAATGGCCGTAATATATCGCCTATACATTTTTTTTGGGCTTTCGTCACAAGCGAAAAGAAGAAGAACGACAACAATACATAAGTGACTCTCCTCTGCATCCCCCATGCCCCCACCATCCAAAACGCATTGACGATAAGAAGCGTTTGTCTCATTTCTGATCTTTATGGACGCCTTTGGTCTGGGCGCGTGCTCATTAGCGGCCGATGAATTCTATTTAAAACATGTTTCTTTTGTCGATTGAAATCGAAGCTGCTGCGGACGCGACGGACTACGGCGGTTCGGCACTGATTCGACAATTCGACAATTCGCGAACCGCTGCCGCAATCGGGTAATGATGTTGTCAGTTGCTTGGAGTACCTGGCCAATAAGCTTGTCACGATTGTTGCTCCCAAAAACAGTCGTAATGTGCGGCTCACATTGGTTCCGGTATTTAAGTATTAAGTGAGTAATGCGAATAGCAATTTTGATATGCCGCCAAAGCTTACATTTAACACTCAACACACACACACACACAACGACACACACCAACACACACCCACACAATACATCAATCAATCATTCAATCACCATAAAGGCAAGGCAAAAGATCAATAAAAATTGTCAGGGGACAGGTCAAGTGTTTCAGGATGCCTGCCATAATACTGTCTGTCTCTTGCATTTTCTGTTAATTAATCAATCAACAATAATAATGGCGAGAGCTGTTCTATTCAATCCTATATGCTAATCATCATCTGCTTGCTCAATATTCAATATCTATACCCTTTACACGACGCTTAAAAGGGTATACTAAGTTGTTCGTGATGAATGTAACAGGCAGAACTAGATGGACGCAGTTGATACAAACATTGCTGTCTGTAAATTAGTCCGTCTGTATGAACGTCAAAATCTTTTGAAGCATAACATCTGGATACACCAAACCAAGCTCGTTGTAAGCTACAAGCTTTTGTAAATCCGCAATATAAGTGTAAGATTCGGCATTATAACATTAAGAATGTAACGGGCTAAATGGGGGTTGGTAGACCCAGATGAGAGCAGTTAATCTAAATATTGCTGTCTGTAAACTAGTCCGTCTGTATGAACGTCAAAATCTTTTGAAGCATAACATCTGGACACACCAAATCAAGCTCGTTTTAAGCTACAAGCTTTTGTAAATCCGCAATATAAGTGTAAGATTCGGCATTATAACATTATGAATGTAACAGTATTATGAATGTAACGGGCTAAATGAGGGTTGGTAGACCCAGATGAGAGCAGTTAATGTAAATATTGCTGTCTGTAGATTAGTCCGTCTGTATGAACGTCAAAATCTTTTGAAGCATAACATCTGGACACACCAAGTTAAGCTCGTTGTAAACCTCGATCTTTAATAAATCTTCAATATAATTTGAATAATGAATGTAACAGGCAGCATGAGAGCAGTTAATAAAAATATTGCCATCTGTATGAACGTCAAAATCTTGTGCAAACCAAGCTCGTTGTAATCCTCGATCTTTTATAAATCTTCAATATAAGTAGTATCATTGGACTAAGTTTACTTTGCGATTGCAGCGTATTCGAGATTCGGGATTGTGGATCTGCTGATGCGTTCGAAAATTTGATTGTTCTCTAGTAAGTCCCACATTGCCCTTTGTTTCATATCTTCATTTAATATTAATATTAATATTATAGATTGTCTCCTCGGGGTTTGTGGTTCTATTTGAAAGCCGTGTACGGGTGGGAATTTCTTGGTTCTTTCTTCTTCATGAGTCGCTGCTAAAATTAGAATGTGTGCGAGCTTCAATTCCTCCACCATTGACGTAAGAACTTGTTATTCATTTTAAAATCTTCATTTTTATGATATCATAGCTTGCAGCTACTTGCCAGCTTCAGCTTATGAAGTCTTAGGATTTAAATGTCTCTGGACAATCCCAGAGCAGACTGAGGGTATTTCGCTTAATGTGCGTGTAAGTTTCTGTTGGTTTCTGTCGCCTTCGTGGTATAATAAATGATTTATTGCCACTTTGGTGGCTCTAATCTAAATGCAAACGAAACTTTAGTCGCATTTTAATAAGTTTAGGTCAGCACTACTCAAGTCTGGGGCGTAATGAGCAGCGCCAGCTCATAAATCGCATCATGCAAATGGATTTCGGTCGAAAACTGGATAGACTATGGGAATTATATAATTGGATATTAACATAAGCAACCAATCATACACGTACATAATATTGACTTTAATTTTTATTGTTTAACAAGAAATATAAACGGTTTAATGAACAGAAATTGGTGCTAGAATTGACTAAGTAACATAGGGCGATAACGATAACGACTACGATAACAATGGCTATAGCGAAGGAAGCTGAACGCAACTTCGGGACTGCGCTTAGTTCTTCTTGTACACGTAGCCACCGTTAGCGGCATAATTGGTTTCGACCTGGGAGGTGGTGCCGATCGTTGAGGTGGTGATCAGTGGTGCAGGCGCGGACGCAGGCACCGATATTGTTTCAGTCTTTTGTACAACGGGAGCAGGCTGTACGTATGTCTGCTGAGGTGTGTAGCTGTACTGTGGTGCGGGTGGTGTGTACTGCACCACCGGAGCGACGGGAGCGGCTGCGGGTGCTGGTGCTGGTGCTGGAGCATTATAAGTCTGTTGTATTTGCACTGGTGCGGGAGCTGGGGCAGTGTAGGTCGTCTGCTGCTGTTGCTGCACCACTGGAGCGGGAGCCGTGTATGTCTGCTCAACCACTTGAGTGGGGGTAGAGTAGGACTGTTGTTGAATTACAGGAGCTGGAGCAGCGTATGTCTGCTCAACCACTTGAGTGGGGGGAGAGTAGGACTGTTGTTGAATTACAGGAGCCGGAGCAGCGTAGCTCTGCTGCACCACCGCTGCGGGCGCTTGATAATTGTAGCCACTGTATTGAGCTTGTTGAACTGGAGTGCTGATGCTGATGGTCTGTTGTGGCGCTGGAGCTGAAATGGCAATGGGCTGGACATTTTCAACCACAGGAGCGGGAGCCGAGTAGGTTTGTTGCACCACTGGAGCGGGAGCAGGAGCTGAGTAGGTCTGCTGCACCACTGGAGCGGGAGCAGGAGCTGAGTAGGTCTGCTGCACCACTGGAGCGGGAGCAGGAGCAGGAGCTGAGTAGGTTTGCTGCACCACTGGAGCGGGAGCTGAGTAAGTCTGCTGCACCACTGGAGCGGGAGCTGAGTAAGTCTGCTGCACCACTGGAGCAGGAGCTGAGTAGGTTTGTTGCACCACTGGAGCGGGAGCTGAGTAAGTCTGCTGCACCACTGGAGCGGGAGCTGAGTAGGTTTGTTGCACCACTGGAGCGGGAGCAGGAGCTGCGTAGGTTTGCTCAACCACAGGGGCAGGTGACTGATAGTTGTATCCACTGTACTGAGACTGCTGCACCTGAGTGCTTATAATTTGAGGAGCTGGAGCTGCAATGGGTGCAGACTGAACAGTCTCAACCACTGGTGCGGGAGCAGGGGCAGCATAGGATTGCTGCACCAGCGGAGCTGGAGGTGTGTAGAGCTGTTGCAGTGCCGGGGCAGGAGCGGAAATTATCTGCGTTTGCTGCACCGCTTCTTGCTGAACGACTGGAGCTGCGATCGAGACCTTCTCTTCAATCGCAACCGGAGCTGGAGCTGGAGCCGGAGCCGGAGCGGGAGCTGAGACCGCAACCGTCTCTTGAACAACTGAGGTTGTGACTGGCGCAGGTGCTGGAGCCGAATAGCTCTGTTGGACCACTGGTGCAGGGGCCGGAGCGCTATATGTGGTGGTTTGCTGCACAATAGGCTCGGGTGCTGGAAGGAATTGCTGCGCTGGCAGCGCGGGTGGCAGATAAGAGCTCTGCACGTTCGCCTGGGTGCTCACAACGGCTTGAGATGACTCATAGGTGTTGGAAACGGATGTGGAGACAGCTTGTGAGGAGGGTGCCTGATAGGTTTGTTGAGCTGGCACCTCATTCTGTATCGAGAATGTGCCCAACGAAACCGAAGGCCTAATGGACTCAACAATGGGCTGTTGATAGGTCTGATACGTTTGCTGTTGTTGTTGTTGTTGTTGTGGTTGTTGGTACACTGGCAGCTGCTGCAACTCCTTGGGCGCCTCGGCCACACTTGTGGTCTGTAGCTGCGCACCACTATTGTAGCTGGCCAGCTCATTGCCGAGGCCAGGCGGCAGATAGCGACTATTCAGCAATTGGCCGCCTTCTGGACGTGCCTGTGCCACTGCCAAGCCAATGGCAACGATGCTGAGGATGCTCACAAATTTCTGCCAGACAGGATGCACAAAAACAACAAAAACAAAACAAAAAAAAATCAAATCATTGTATATGCACAAAAGTCACTTTTTGAACCGTGAAAAAAAAGGGGAAAAAAATTGGAGCTTACCATCTCTACCGATGTGTTACAGCTGCGTGCTACACCAAACGAACGAAACCGTAAAACTGATGCCTGGTCAGCGGCCCAAGCGACAATTTATAGTTAAAGCAGAGCCACCGATCCACCAAAATGCAAAAAGGTGACGAATAGTTGGCGTCGGTGGTCAGCGGCGTTGTCAGCGGCAATAGAGTATGGAAACGACAATGGCAGAAACGGCAGAGTCTCCCCTTAATTGGTTTATCATTGGCACCATGGACTAATGCAAGCAGCCATTATTAATATGTTAATGTAAAACGTTAACACCGGCTCAACAACAAGAAGCGTGTAAAAACAATGACAATCATTTGTGATATTATTTAATGCCAGAGAAAACAAAAGGCTATCTATCTAGGCTGTTGCATTTGCAACTATATATATCTAATGCCCGATTAGCATCGTCTACTTATGTCAAAGCATAGCCACAGCCCTGAGCCAAGCCATGATCATGGCTACCAGCTAGCAGCTATCAGCTATCAGCTACCAGTTTCCAGATGCCAGCTACCCGCTGCTATCTCTCAGCTGACATGCTTATTTCTGTTTTATTTGTTTCACTGCAGATATTTTGCAAATTTCTTTTAAAAAACACTTTGCATTATTTTATTTCACTCTGAAAAGGCATAAATTAAACACCGAATATATGCAAATTTTTGATGTCAGTTTGGCTTGCAAAACATTTCAAAACTTCTACGCCAAAAAGGGTAGACAACAAGTTGCCAGAGAGTTCGAAGAGCCGCTTACAAACAAACAAGTTGCTCAGCACAAATATTTGGCTCATGCATTGCAAGCCGTTCATTTCTTTTACCTTTTTGTTTTTGCCTTTCTGTGTGTGTGTGTGTGTGTGTGTGTTTTTTTTCTTTCCGCTATTGACTTAAGACATTGACACCTGATATACCCAACAGGCAAGTGGCTTCCTCAAGTGCGCACCAACCAGCCCATGGTCCATGCCAAGCGATGCTATCACAGCCATAACAGCCATCAGTGTTGGATAAGCATCTAGGGATAAACAAAAACCGGCCTCCACACGTACTCCTCTACAATGGGCCAGCATTACCAAGCGAAAAGAGAGAAACAAACACCGAAAAGCAGACACTCTTCTTGCTCAGCCCCCATGAGGCCACCAAAGAAGATGGAATCTGTAAGGCCCCATTGATGTGGGAGTCGTATAATTCAGCCCCAATATATAGGCAGAATTGTTTGCCCGGAAGGAATACATGCCATGTTGATAGGAAATCTTCTCAAAATTTAATAGGAGCTGTGCACTTAAATCTGTTTGTAGCAATTGAACAGCTGAATTGCTTATGTGATCAAATTATTATATAAAATTTGACCCACTAATGGGTTAACATTGGCTCTCCAAACTAAAAATTAATACATTATATAATTGTTACTGAATGCTGAATATGATATAAACACATATACTTATGTATTTGAAATTCCCTCCTAGAATATGTTGAGTAGCCGTGTATTTTCTAGTTTGTGCGTGTATATAATTAATAAGAGGTGCACTGGAAATTTGCTTCACCAACGATCTACTTTATGCGTTATATGTAATGGAAATTGAAAAATGCTTTCCTCAGTTTTGGTTTGGCACTCATCCGTGTCTCCATTTGGCTGCTCAAGACAATCGGCCTTTAAATAGTTTCTATATTTCGTCTGGGTCTTTCAAAATTTCGGATGTACTTACATTTACTTTAAAAATATTTGATTGATTCGTAACGCGTTCGGACTCGGCACCTAAAAACGGTCGACTTAGAAAGTATATCAAGTAAATTGTAAATGTTCTATATGAAGTGATAAAGTGTATATACCCTGAGGGGTAGAGGGCATTTGAAATTGCCAGTGTTATGCAAATGGGCAAAAGCATTGCTTGATCTTTTATGCATGCGCGTTTGTAGGCGTAATTCTTTTATTTTTTTGCCCAAGCTCGTTATGAAGTAATATATGAGCTGTTTAGTGGGCTCGAGGTCCACGTGTTGAGATAACACACATATAGTATGCCTAACTATATGTTTATTGTGTTGACAATTTGAATATGGGCGCATCTAAATGGAATTAATAAGTGTGGACGTTAAGCTTAGATGTTGTAGAGCTTATTTACAGAGCGCATTAAGACACGCGCCCATTACCAATTTCAAATTCAATATGTTGGCCTAAACTGCGACCATCAATGTTATGCACCTGCGGCGCCGAACGTGCCAAAAAAAAAGCTATGAAAAATATGCTTTAAAAGAAAAAAAAAACACAACTATAGTAAATAAAAGGAAAAACGTGGCGCTTTAATAAACCGTAGGCATAGTTCAAATAATTGTGACTAATTGTCTTTGGCACACAAGCTGACCGAATGGCTCTAGAGAGGTAACACCATCGCATCGCGATGCGCGATAAATCATCTTTAACTTAATGCCGATTTTTATGCATAATTTGTCAATTGATGGGCCACTGAAAGAAACTGTTTAGGCATATGAGGAGACAAATTGAAATTAAATCCACGATAAAGAGTCACAGAAACAAACACACTCGTGTTTGTATAAGAAACAAAGTCAAACGAAAATTGCAACAAATTTGAATAAATATATACACAGTATATAGCTCGTGAATTGAATAGTTCAACAATGCAACAGAAACAACAACAACAACAGCAGCAACAACAGCAGAGAAGACAAATGAACTTGGCAACAAAGAAAATCCAACTATGAACATGATAAACGGCGCGATTTACATAATAAGTTGGCTAAAGGTTAAAGTTTTAGATTGTCTGTCAAAAAGCATATTTTGAATTATATTTGTTTTTATTTGACTATTATTTTTTTTTTTTTTTTTGAAATTTTTTTGAAATTTGAGTCGCTCTTGAGGGTCCACAAAGGCACGCATTCGAGTGGGTGGGAAGGCTTTTGTGTCATAAGAGAAAGTATAAGGTTCACGACCTTCGCCGCATCACAGATAACAACAATAAGTGCAGAAATAAATGAAAAAAATGTTATAAAGAAGAAAAAACTGTTTCTAAAGCTCGTTCTGAAAACTGTCCCAGTAATTGGTTTTAATGCAAACGATAACAATTTAAACCTGAACTGCAAGTGCAGACAATTGTATTATTTGTGGGCCATCGGCGATGACCAGATGTGGACCAATTAGTGAAACATTTCGTGGTACAGATCTTCAAGGATATATCACAATATGCTAAAAAGGACAGTGAAGACATTTTACAGACATTTAGATTAAAATCGAAAACACTTCTATCACACAATTTGCAGTGAGAGTGCTGTTTAGGTTTTGAAAGAAAGTCTAAAATAAATGTTATACGTTTTAATATTATACTAAATAAATATTATGTTATTATGTTTTAATATTATATTTTATTATTATTATTATATATGTATATTCTATATTTTTTTGCATTTTCTGATCACCTATTAATTTATTTGATCGCAGTAAGTTAATAGACAGAGCACCTATTTCTTTTCAAATATAGAACCGATAGCTTGGTGGGAAATGCGTAATACCGCACTATTATCTTTAAATTTTAAGTGGCTTTAATTAATGTCACTTTCTTTTAAATTAATTTTGGTTACGAATAGTGGAAGCTTTTGAAAATTATCTGTTGACATCACTGAGAAGCTAACGGGTTCTATTTTACAGATACTATTCCCTACTCCCGATATCTCAATATTTCAGCACCTTTCTGTGCAAATCCATAATACTTATTACTTTCTTCTCCTTTCTAAAAAAGGATTTTTATACCCTGTACCCGTAGGGTAAAAAGGGTATATTAGGTTTGTGCAAAGTATGTAACATACAGAAGGAAGCATCTCCGACCCCATAAAGTATATATATTCTGAATCAGCATGACGAGAGAAATCGATCTAGACATGTCCGTCCGTCTGTCCGTCCGTCTGTCCGTCTGGATGAACGCAACGATCTCAGAAACTATAAAAGCTAGAATAACCAAAGTTGGCATCCAGATTCTCCTAGATCCGAGTAAGGACGAGTTTATTTTATTTTTTTTAATATTCCCCCCCTTCCCCCGCTACAGAATTTCGTCAATAGCGTCCACATTTCAAATGCTACCTAAACCAAACACATAATTTCTATATAATTATCTACTGTTTTTAAAAATTTTATCAAATTCGGTCAATTCTAAGAAAAGTTATTAGCGAAACAAATTCTCGCCAGTACAACCTCCCCAAACTGCAGCAACAAGTTCGCTCTTCTTCTTCCTCTTTTTGCTGCTGCTATGGGCGCATATAACTCAGTGACGGAAGTTTACCTGGGTACAGGGTATTACACTGTCGGGCTTGCTCGACTGTAGCGTTCTCTCTTGTTTTTATTTTATTTTTTTCCTAGCAACATATTATGTTAAGGTTGCTTTAATTATTTTGTTGTAGTAGATCAGGTGTCCCTAATTCTTTGCAGAACCCAAGTTAATGTTTGAGGTATCATGTCATCTTAACTCATTCCAGACTGAGCAGACTAGTGCTATATTCTTTTCTACTCAACAGCTTTTCAGATGACTGTGTAACAATGGCTTCGTAGAGGTCCATCAAGTTTCGAGTATTTTCAAAACTTTTAATAATTGACATTAACCTCAACTGATGCCTTATACTCTTGAGTCTTGCTGCTGTTTTCAACGACTGTCTCTCACGTTTAATTAGCATTTTTGGTAAATTTTGCAAAAATCTTGTTCCTGTTTTCTGATAGGCAACTACTTACCTTATTAGCAAGAGCCTAATTCGAACTTGTTTTAGATCGCAAGCATACGAGTATATTTAAATGCTTATGCGGATTGGGCTCATTTGTTTCTGTAAAAAGAAACTATTTTATGTTTATGGATAGCGTCTGGGGAGCATGAATTCTGCGCATGTAAGATATAAATGGTGGTGTTGTTCAACCCACACAGTTTTGCAAAATCGGTGCAGAAACCGCAGAGTTGTATTTTATACAAAACCCAAAAAAAAGCAAACAAAAAAAAAAAAAAAAATGAAATTTTATGCTTATCGATTAGCATAGAGACAAACATTTTGTCTGTCTAGTGTTTATGGCCGAAGAGCAAACACAATATTCATAAATACAATAAAAAAAAAAACAAAAAAAAGACAATAATTTATAATGAGCGCAAACTGAATCTGAATGGGCTATAATGTTTATAGATGGGCTTATTTGGTGCGTTTGTAGACGTAACCGCCATTGCTGCCATAGACAGTGTCCGCGGATTTTTTCGCTTCGTCTGTCTCTGGAGTTGCGGGCTCAGGCTCAGGCTCAGGCTGAGGCTCGTCGAATTGTGGTGGGAAGGGGCCGTAAGGTGATGGTGGCTGGGGCTGGAATTGTGCCCCAAATGGTTGGCCGCCGAACGAGTTAGCGCCTGGTCCTTGGGGTCCTCCATAGCCCGGCGGTGGCAAGCCAAACCCTGGACCTGGCTGGAATGCTTGCAGGCCTTGCGATGGGGGGAAATTTGGTGGAAAGGCGCCGCCTTGGGGAAAGCCTGCACCCGCTTGGGGACCACCTTGTAGTGGTGGTCCATTTGCAAAGCCCTGAGTCCCACCCTGCAATTGTGCTGCATTAGGATATATTCCAGGTCCAGCTCCGGGAACAGGTCCGGGACCGGGTCCAGGTCCCAAAGCATTGCCGTATCCTTGTCCGAAGCCCTGTCCGAATCCATCAACTCCCAATTGCGTGGGTATGCCAGGCCCGCCTCCGCCGAAACCAAAGTATGGCGGATAGATTGGCAGCGGAAAGTTTGGCGGTGTATTGGGTGGGGGTCCCACATTGGTGCCCGTGGGCACATTATAGCCCGGCGGTAAGGGCACCCCCAGACCGGGATAGTAAACGCCGTCGGCAGCCTGCGATTTATCCTGTAACTCATTAGCCATGCTCTCAACCGCTTGACTGCTTTCTGGTGACCCCGAAATATACATGTCGGGCAGGTGACTGACTTCGGCGCCGGCCGGACTCGCTATGAGGGCCAGCAATGGCCACAACACGACCATTTGTCTGGGCCATGACTTCAGAAGCATGTTTTTACTGGACTGTGGACACGGACTGTCTGCGCTGGCTACGCCTCACTTGGCCACTTATAAGACAGACCAGAGACAACAGATTCGACGCTTCCGCCACCACGCCCTTCGACGCCCATTTGCTGGCATCAAAATCGTTGCCCTTACGTAAAATACACTTTCCATTTCACGCCACTATGCTTTGCATCACAAAAGGAGAAAAGAGACAGCCACTATGGGGAAATGGTATAGCTTCCAAGCTGGACTATAAAAATTAATTAGGCAGGCCAGATTTACAAACTGTTTGCGAACTCGGATGCTAAATTTTTGCATAGAAATTTATTTTGTTTTGGTAACAGTTAGATATGAAACAAATTTGTATATTAATTTATTTATTGGAGACTAATAAATAAAATGTAGACTCGTAAAAATGAATATGCATTTTATATTTTTTTGAACGCTTTATTTTTATTTAAATGATATGAGAATGTGAGCGGCGCTCATTAACCCATGAATTATTACTTTGCTTCGTTTTTATTTTTATTGTGTGCTTGGCTAAGCTTGCACAAACAAAAAAGATGCTAATATAAGCTTACATCAAAAGATAATTACCAGCCCGACAAATAATTGACAATTCAATTTATTGCAATTAAAATGTTTATTTCCTTCGCCCTCGTTTGATGGATCACCAGGCTCAGGGCAATGCACTCCTAGGCATTCATCGACGTCCCTGAGCTATTCGGCCAGATCATCATTCATCTATTTAGTACACTCTCTCTAATCCCGACCTACTCCCCAAGTAGTCAAACGTTCAAGGAGAGCGATGACAAAGCGATTTTGAGTTTTAATTTAGTCTGAGTATAGAGTTAGTCTTGATGATTTACTTAATGATACTCAATCCATATACTTGTGTTATTCAACGAGAGAAGGACCGAAGGCAGATATTTGTATCAGACCAAAAATTCATTAGTGATAAAAATCTCATCAAAAAAACACAATTTTTCGATCGACTATTGTTTACAAATTGTGGTCCTATATAAAATGAGTTTTAATTGACCTTGATAGCATTCTTTAATGAAATTATTCCGCAAAGTTATTTGTGAATTGACAGATGATGAGTCCGATTTGACGCATTGTTAGATATTTTACGTATTTCCAATAACAATATAATATTTATTTATTAAATAAAAGTAATTAAATAAAAGCGTCTAGCTTTGTACAACTTATTTTTCAAAACAAAAATACATATAATCGAAACAAAAAAGAACATTTTGCAATGAAAAGGCGATAACCGTAATGCTCTTTTTTGTTAGCTATAGAAAATTTATTTACAAAGAAACTGGGAAACTGACCCTTTGCACCGCAATAGTCCTTATCGCTAGGAACAAAATGAGGGAAGAGTTTGAAGATGTCATCTAGGAACATGTTTGGGGTTCATCAGAAGAACCTTCCAGTTAATCAAGGTGTACTCCTCCATGTATATCGGCCAATCAATCATCAACATATCATCTGGGTACATGTTTGGGGTTCATTCTCTCGATCTCAGGCACTGTGCGGACAAGTGATGTAAAGGAAGGACATTCCAGTAGCTCAAGGTGTACTCCTCCAGGCATATTTAGTTGCGGGTGCTATTATTATTGTATCATCTAGGTACATTTTTGGGTTCATTCTTATGAATATTCAAGTAACTGAAGATAAGAGAGCATGCTAGAGTCGAGAGTCGAGCAAACCCGAGCTCGTATTGCCTAGGGATAAGGGTCTACGTCTAAGTCTACATATCAAGTTTGGGCTCGAGGCGCCCATCCAGACAGACAGACAGTTGGCTATGGCTAGAGCGATTTCTCTCCTCATCCTGTTTAAGAAAGCATATATTTTATGGGGTCGCCGATGTTTCCGTTTCTTCTTGTATACCCTTTTTACCCTTCGGATGTGCAGGGTATAGAAATGCTGAAATACCTTGAACCTGGCGTCTGGCGATTTCGAACCACAACGTGTATTGATATGCTTTGTCAGCTTACGCATAAATTTGCTTACAAAAAAGCTCCAAAGTCCGTACACAAACCCGTGGCTGGAAAAAGCTTACATGAGAGATTCGAGCCCCCATGGCCTTTGAACGGGTTAGTTGACCCCCGAGTTGGAGCGCAGCTCCTTGGCAACAGCGAGAGCTTTCGAGCAGAGCTTACCTTCTTGAAAGCTAAACAGCAGACTAATTAATTTAGTAAGCCAATAAAATAAACACCAAATACTAGAAGGCGAATGTTACACTAAAAAGCTAATGCCTAGTCGCTTGTGAATGAACCGGTTGAGTTAATTATAAAATGAAGCTATTTTGAATTATGCATGCTTTGCCGGGCTCTCACGCACTACAAGTATAGAGATAAAACAACCAGATTTCGTTTGAAACACATATGGGATTTATTTGATAGTCGTCACACAAAAAAAAAAAAAATCATACAAGGAAGGAAAATAAAAGTATTGGGAGAAGGAGTGGAAATGTTAAATACGAGTATTTACATTAGATTGAAGTTGGAAACTGTTTCAGTCAGTTTCAGCTTTTTACTTCTTCCTGTAGACGTAGCCGCCGTTGGAGGCGTACTGGGTGCCGACATCGACGGAGCTGCCGAAGGAGCCGCTGCTGATGGACGGAGCACTGTAGCTCTGTTGCGGAGCGGCATAGCCAACCGATGGAGCGGCATAGCTGACCGATGGGGCAGCATAGCTCTGTTGCACAGCTGGAGCAGAGTAGGTCTGCTGGACAGCAGCAGGAGCCGAGTAGCTGACCGAGGGTGCGGAGTAGCTCACCGAGGGTGCGGAGTAGCCGACCGAGGGTGCGGAGTAGCTGACCGATGGAGCGGCGTAGGACTGCTGAACAGCATAAGTCTGTTGTTGTTGTTGTTGTTGTTGCACTGGGGGCAGGTATTCGTTGGAGGGTGCACTGTAGCTAACGGCTGGGGCACTGTACGACTGCTGCACGGGAGCGGGGGCAGAGTAGCTCTGCTGGATAGCTGGTGCCGAGTAGCTCACCGAGGGGGCAGAGTAGGATTGCTGGACAGCTGGTGCCGAGTAGCTCACCGAGGGGGCAGAGTAGGACTGCTGGACAGCTGGAGCCGAGTAGCTCACCGAGGGGGCAGAGTAGCTCTGCTGCACAGGCGGCAGATACTCATTGGATGGAGCACGATTGTAGCTCTGCACGGGTGGCAGATATTTGCTCAGATGGCTGACATCGGCGGCCGCGTAGGCGAACAGTGCGAAGACAATGAAGAATTTCTGCAAAGGACGTAGCTTCGATTAGATCCTGACGGCACAATAACAACAACAACAAAAACAAAAACACACACAGCACAGATAGCACGTGAACAAAAAATGTTATGGAACAAAAAAAGAAAAAAAGAAAAAAAGAACTCTGAACTGTTTGCTGGGTGGTGGACCCATCCATGGCTACTAACCATGTTTGTGGGCACAACAATTATTGCAAGTAGTGTAATGGGTATAGAGCCAACAACTGTGCTGGACGAGGTAAACGCTGAAACTGATGCTGATCCCTTGGCCGTGCGACCAATTTATACCGAAAAGAAACTCACTTGCAGCACTTTTTGAGACGTCGAGCCGCTGCTGCTGCTGCTGCTGCTGCTGCTGCTGCTGCTGCTGCTGCTGCTGCTGCTGCTGCTGCTGCCTTCAAAGTAGAAGACGGCGTCGGCCATGCTGGTGGTTTGCTGCTGCTGATGATGACGATGCTGATGAAGAAGAAGAAGCAACAACAGCAGCAGCCAGACCGGGGCCGGGGCCGGAGCCGGGCCACACCAAGCCAAGCCAAGCCAAGCCGGGCAGCCTAAAATAAATAACAAAAAAAAAATAAATAAAAAAAAACCAAAACATAAAAAATAGCCAGAAAAAACAAATCACACGCGTAAACAAGTTTTACTTATTTACAATATTTTTCCGCAACGCAGCAGCGACGTCAACGACGCTGTCGACGCCGACGCCGGCGTTGACGCTCAAGTCTCTGACATGACTTCTTCTTTCACGCTTACGAAAAGCCCAACCTCACAAACTAAGTATAACAACAACAACAACAACAACAACAATAACAGTACGACTAATAGCAGACTAAGCCGCTTCTTAGGCGCTTAAAATAAAATAAAACACTGTGAAAAGTGAAAAGAAAACTACTAGACAGGCAAGAAATTGTGGAGAGCATGAGTGTACTAGTATGTGGGTGAGCGGTGCTCCAATTGCAGACTATTGCGTAAATGAAATGCTTTCCATTCAAGCCATGAACTCGACTCTACTACAAGTATATACAGGTCTCTAGGCCATAGAAATGAACGAAAGTGAACTTCGCACCCAACCTAGAACCGGTTCTAAGCTCAACCACTCCCATACACTATACAATCCATCAATTCAATCAAATTCAATTCTATAGTGACAAGAAAGTTCTCAAAAAAAAGAAAAAAATCTTGGCAGCTAAATAATATGATGCACCGATTTTAATTAAACATCTCGAAATATATTCGATTCTAATCGAAATATCAAGTTTTGCAAAAGATGTCGAGCTTCATACGGACAAATGGATGAAGGAACGGACAGACATGACAATATTGATTTGTGCCATCATGCTACCAGAGCTCAACTATATAATGTATATACGCCCATTGTTGATTCATCAAAGCAATACAATTTTATTCCAGCTTGTTGAGAAGGAATCACCAAGGAGAATTGCAGCATGGAAAAAAATAAAAACCTACATACTCGTATATAATATGATGCACCGACTTAAACGGAACTAAAGAACATATTTTTGGAGGTGCTCTGAGATGCTATTCTATACCAAAGTTGGAGCAGACATCGCAATATAGATGAAAAGCACAGTTTTTGCATCGATAGTTTCCATTTGATCTATATAAAATAGTTAGGCTCTATATGGTTTCTAATAACTGTCTCCAGCTTTTATGTCTCACAAAATGCCGAAGATCATGCGAAAGGATGTTTAAAATTTCTATGTATACTATATATACAAATAATATTTAAGAGTACAGGGCATAGAATAAGAAAATGAGGATTTTTTTTTCACATTTTGAAAATGTTTGTAAACATTCTTCATTTATTTACTGTATTTCCGCTTATTTTCTTAAGGGAATAATAATAATTAATAAGATCTTACTATAATTTATTTGATTTAAACGGCCCTCGAGAAGAAAGGGCTGGTTGGTCGTGGCTGCAAACTCGGATAACGTGTCTTATTTGTAAATTTATCTGTAAATGCTCTCGTTACGGAGGCGCCCCAGTAATGGTTCTCAGAATTTTGGATTGTGCTCGCTGTATGTATATTGCAATTATTTTTCTTTAACCAATTCTATATATGTATATTTAAAAATTGTCGAAATCCCCACCCGATTTTAAAAACATCTTAGTTATGTCGATGAGTCACGTACCTATAAGTATGACTCGATCTAGCCCCATTAATCTGTTCGTATGGACGACAGGATCTTCGAAAATATGACAGATTGAGTTACAAAACTTTCGAAGCGAGGGTACTTTTTAAAAAATAATTTCTACAGTTCTTGGCAGCCTTTGTTCAGCTCGCTTTAAGTAGCATAACTCTTAAGAAAGTTAAATGATCTGCAGTCTAGTTAAGAGTACATATCGTTAGAAAGGGCATTTGAGCTTCGTTAATGATCGGTGGTTCGTTTTAATTGAAATTTCGCTTTCAATGGACGGCTTCTGCTATTACATTGCACACCCGCACTCACACCTCCAAGGTTGTGCTGCTGGCCGGCTGCTGGCTGCTGGCTGGCTGGCGAGCCCATCAACAACTGTTGATGGCCAATAATTGTGTTAGCCACGAAACTTAGCCGCTCGCTAAATGCCGTCCATTTGTTGTGTGTTTAATTTAACACATTATTCATCTTTGGCTCTTTGTTTTGACCGTTGGGCATGGCGTGCAGAAAACAGTGTTAACTGTTGTTGTGCTCCACAAAATGGGTCAAATGTTGTGCCCACCGAAAACGAAAACCCAAGAAACGGACCCTGGACGGACAAGTGAGGTGAGTCAATCGCTGGCTGGGTGCGACGGCCTTCGCCACAGAGCAGTGCATAGCAGAGCAGACCAGACCAGAGCAGAGCAGAGCAGAGCAGAGCAGGGTAGGGCAGAGCAGAAGCGGAGCGGTTTGATGAATGCCGTTGCAGTCGTAATTCAGATCGGAGCTGAGTAGAGCGGTATACAAGTATACAAGTATCCCGGTTGCCAAGCACACACACGAAGAATACCGAATGATGTGCGTTCAAGTGGTCGGAATTGCAATTTGTACTTTCTAAAAAGAAGCCAGCGACCTTGAGAACTCACACATAGAGCTCTGGTTTTGCGGGAAGATGGGCAAGTTTTACATAATCGCTGCAGTAGCGCTGCAGGAGAGCGAGAGGTGCGGGGGCAGTCTGATCAACTTTTACTTCAGTTACTCGAAGTATTAGCAACGAATGCTCATGAACTTGGCTGGCAAACAAGTTGCGAACACATGAGTAAGAAGCAATTTGTATAGCTACTGAAATCTCCGAACAGATAGCACGATTTAATTCTAAGCGAATCTGCATTTAAAGAATTCTTTAGTCTTCTCTTTAAGAATATAGAAGCTTGGCAAAGAATACAAATAAAAATTATGGGAAAAGAATTGTTCTTCTTCTAGATCCACTTCATTGCGAACACATTAAAAAGAAGTACTTTGTTAAGGGTAACGGAAATCCTAGAACTGATAAGTATATGCAGGTTTTATTTCTCAGGGAACCAGACTTTTCAAGAATTCTTTAATCTTTAGAATATTGAAGCTTGCTTCTATAAGCCAGAAAATGAAGCCGAACAGACTTAATAACTTTCCAGAATTTTATTCATCAAAACGGTGGAAAAAATTCTGGGATAAGAATTGTTTTTCTTTTTTTTAACTTTTGGATCCACTTCGTTGCAAACACATGAGTAAGAAGCGATTTGTAAAGCTACTGGATGGGAAAAGGGAAATCGCAGAACTGATAATTATATGCAGGCATTAATTCTAAGGGAATCTGATATATCAAGAATATTGGAAGCTCGGTTTTTGAAGCCAGAGTATAACTTTCATGAATTTAGGTAAAATAGTGTGATAAGAATTTTCCTTCTGATCCACTTTGTTGTCCACACATGACTAGATTGAAGAAGCAATTTGTAAAGCTACTGAAATCCCGGAACTGCTATATGGAATCAGACATTTTAACAATTTTTGAAATCTTATCTTAAAGAATATAAAAACTTGCTTCTATAAGCCAGAGAATACAGAGAATAAATTTCCTGAATGTGGAAAAAATTCGTTGATAAGAATTGTTCTTCTGAATATTAAGTAGTGGATCCATTTCCATTGGAAAATAGGGCCGCTGAGATGTTAATGAAGAAGTTAGTCAGCTTGAAAAGCACGGGTTTATTAAAGATCTGATCTATATGTAAGCCCTAGTCGATTCTGTGATGTCTATCTGAACACAAGCAAACTGCTCTCCCCATCTATATCATTATATCTTAAGACCACTAAGTATTTACTTAAAAGAAATTCAAAGCTTTATTTGGAAAAGCACAAAGAAAAAAAAAAAAAATTGGACGAAAGTGATGTAGTTGTGTATAAAAAATGAATAGTTTATGTGACTACTTAATAAATATAACCACCATTTGGCGCATACTGAGTGCCATAGCCGGAACGGGCACGGGCGCCAGCAGCGACACCAGTAGCTGTGTAGGTAGTGGCCCGCTGGGAGCCCAGCAGGTGAGCGGGTGTGTATGTGTTGCGTCCAATGGCGATGGGGACATGGGTGTCTGCATTGAACTCCTCGATGCCATTGGAGCGTGGCTCCACATAACCGACAACGGGCTCCACATCAACCTGCACCTGAGTCTGGCTCTGTTGCTGAACGTGCGAGCGCTGATAATTGTAATGAGCAATGCGATCAGCCTCGGGTATGAATTGTTCGGGTGTCTGGGTATTGGCACCAATGGCAACTGGCACCGTCTGTTGACCACCACTGAAGGAACGTCCGGAGTAGGAGACATGTTGTTGGTGGGTAACGACGGGAGCCACCCGTGTACTGGCCACATGAGCGGTGCTTAAGCCTCTGCCTTGAACATAGGCGGGCACCAACTCTGCCGGCTGATAGCTATGAACCTCAGAGCCTGGAACAACCACCCGAGCGGACTTTGCAACCAAGGCACTTGTCTGATCGCCTGCCTCTACCGTCTCAGCCACTGTGGGTGCAACTAAAGCCACATCCACGGTGGTTTCCTGAACGCCACTGGTCTGGTATTGTCTGGGTGTATAGGTGTTGGCTTGTGTTTCCACTCCACCCTCCGCCTCCACTGGAGCAACTAAAGCAACATTCACGTTCCTTTGTTCGACGACAGAGGTCTGGTACTGCTGGGGTGTATCGGTGTTGACATCCACTGGTTGATAGCTATGAGTCTCAGAGCCTGGAACAACTGCTTGGGCGGACTTGGCAACGAAAGCACCAGACTGTTGGCCCTCCACTTGAGAAACAGCCTCTACGGGCGCAACTAGTGCAGCATCCACGGCTCCTTGTTCAACTGCAGAGCTCTGGACCTGAGTTACGGTGCGTTGCAAGTTGGTAGGAACCAGGTTAGCTGGCTGATAGCTGCTGGAATCGCTGCCAGGAATGACTTCCTGTGTATTCTCGACTGCGGCGGTACGCGCCTGTATCTGCTCGGGTATTAAGTTCTGGGGCTGATAACTGTGCTCTTCAGAACCGGGCACTACTTCGGCCACCGAGTTGCCAGCCTGGCCGTACTGCTGAGTGACCGTCGACCTTCCGGCACCGTTGACATAAGCATAGTGCGCCTGACGATCGGCCTCAGGAATGAACTGCTCCGGTGTGTGGGTGTTGGCGCCAATGTTGAAGGACTCTCCGCTATTCTCCACCTGTGTGCCAACAGTGCGCCCTTGACCTTGTAGATGGGCGGGGGTGTAGCTGCTCGCGTCGCCACCGGGCACGACTTCAGACTGTAGATTGGCTGGGGTGTAGCTGCTCGCGTCGCCACCGGGCACGACTTCGGACTGTACATCAGCGGTTCTCAGCTCTGCCGGCTGATAGCTGCTCTCATGGCCACCAGGCACGACTTCGCCCTCAGCTGCCACCTGTCCGCTTGCTTGCGAACGTAAGTGCTGCGGTATCAGATGTTCCGGCTGATAGCTTGAGGAATCACCACCGGGAAGGCCCAGGTGGCTGACATCGGCGTTCGCCAAAGAGACGAGAGCCAATGCAATGAAATAAAATTGCTGCCGAGACAAAGGAACAATCGGACAGACGACATTCAAACGATTAATTTGTGAATTTTTCGAGGGCTGACTTTTGTTGTGTTGCTAGAACTTACCACCATGTTGGCCTTAGATTTGTTTACAGTATCTCGAGACTGTGCTGTCAACCAGTTTATGCTCCGTGCTGGTCTGTTGGCGGCTACCAAGATGTTTTAACTTTTATACTCCAAACGCTTAATGGTTAAGTCGCAATGTTGTCAACTGTTTTGATTTTTCGTCGAACAGCCTCAGAGCCTATGCTAATTGGCGGATATTTTGTTTTGGTTCTGGCTCTATGAATACGAATACGATAGATGTCATTGATGAAAACAAAGTATCGCCAAGCATCATAACGTCCAATCGACTTGATTAGAACATCTCCGGCCCGCCTGCACCATCTAGCTGTCCATCCAAAGCCAATTGTGAAACCTTTCCAATGCCATTAATTAGTCGCGACGACTTTGCATTCTTTAGTTACTATTATGCTTTACTCATTTCTTCGACTGCTTCAAAATTAAAAAATTAGCGCCTTAGATCTTTATGTTCATCATAAGAATCGGCGCCAAACTGACCTTAGAGAGTCAGTATTGCTTCCAAACAAATGACATAACTTGCAAAAAAATAAAACTGAAATGTCTAGACCGAATGTGAATGTAACTGTATTTCTTTAAATCATATTAGCACGAATGTCAAATCCATTGAAATTCAAACACCGCATTTCTTTATTTGTTGTTGACTTTCCATTATGTTTTGTCCATGCTTAGCATAACAAAAGAGCCAATGAACAGGACTGTGGTCTTAAAATAGAACTTGTCTGCTGTCAATATTCCCTATTTACGACTAGATACCCTGTACTCGAAGGCTATACTAGAATGCCTAACAAATTTCATGATCTATATGATAAGTATGACGAGACGTTCGTGTGTCCGTCTGTATGAACATCTATAACTTTTGAACTGTTTCAACTGAGGTCACCAAAATTGGCATGTGGACTTGTCTTATTCATATGCAATTCTACCCATATACACTATCGCTATTTTATATGGCTGGTATAGGAACGGTAGCTTTTTAAAACACTCTTAGTAGGATACCCTTATTGTTAACTTTAATTATTTGTTTAGTCGTACTCGTACATAGTGCCTCTTCATTAAAAATAAGGTTTGATACAAATCGGTTCACTATATCATATAGCTGCCAAAGGAACAATTGGTACAACAAAGTTGAATTTTGGTTGAGTGGCTGTGGTGGGGAATTCAAGAGTCGGGCTGGCACGACTTTAATGTTCCACTAGTTTATTGCTGTTGTAAACAATCTTGTCGTCGCGCTATTTTTTTTGGGAGAACATAAAATTTGTTTTGGCTCAGACAGATTTCATATTCAAATTGAATCGAATAGTGGAAAATTTTTGGTTGCCATCGTTGATTTAATTTTAAGAAAAGAACAAATAACATTTGCGAGCTAGTATGTAAAAGGTATGTATGTAAAAGGTTCATGAATTCAGTTAGTGAAATTGTGGGATAATGCACTTTTCTGAAACATCAGAATCAAATAAAAAAATCTTTTAAGAGCTCTCAAAATAGGGTACTTACAAAGAACAGAAATTATAAAATAAATTGTAATTCTATTACAAATAAGAATAATCAAATTATTTACAAATAAATTTGAAATATTAAAAATAATAAGAATTGCTGTGATCAGACAAGCGAATAGTTTGGACAGGGGAGGCTTTGAAAACTAATCCCAAAAAAAGCAAATATCCATATCTTTGAATTGAATTCTTATTGATTTTAGTTGAAGACAGAGAATCAAATAATTTGGCAAGAATTGTCTGCTAGTTTTTATATAGGCTTTGAAAACTAATACCACAAAAGTTTTTTATAGCAAAAAATCATATCTCTGCGAGAATTCTTATTGGTTTTAAATGAAGTAACATTATATTCATTAAATACTCTACAATACAGCAACTTTCTGCTCAAATCATTTGCTTGGCTGACTCTTTAGTAACCAATTATAAATGTGTCCACTTTATTAATAGACTAGCTCGATTTGTTGTTGTTAGTTCACATACAAATTATTATTATTGATGGCTACTCGGCTGGTACTTCCCAGAATGTTCGAGTTCGCCAATCTGTGAATAATTAGTGCCATGATATAGGCTCGATGGTTATAAATTAATATTATTAACATATTGTGTTTTTTTTTTTGCTATAGTCGTAAGAATAGATTTGTATTAGTTTTAGTAATTGTTGCTAATGCTATTATGTGTGTTTGTTAGAACACATAACATTTTTGGGAGGGGAGAAAGGACGGTCAGCTGCCCATCTCTAGAAGGAGAACCAAACAAAAAATGTTGCATTAATAATTGAAAAATTATTAAGCACAGCACCGCCTTCAGCAAAAATAAAATAAAATATAGCCTTAATGTTTAAGCTCAGATTTTGTTGACCCTGTAGTCCTAGTCTAAACGCAGGGGGGCTATTAATTCTGTGAAAGCTTTCGTAAAAAAACAACATAAAAATATATTCATATGCTTGTATTATTGTTTTGTTCTTTTGTATTTGCATCTGGTCCAAAACGCGTCATCGAGCGTTAGGCATAAAATTGAGAATTTTATGTTCATTTATTTATAGAACAAGTGGAAAAGCTAAAGTCGGGTGTCCCGACTTTGAAATACTCTGTACATATGTGTAGAATAATTATGCATGTCTATGCATGTCTACGCGTGTCTGTGTGTGTTTGTATATGTCTTGTGTGTCTGTGCAAAGCAGCTACAACAACAGCTGCGGGCACGGCTTGGCTATAACTTCCCGTTAAATCGGCCTATCATAATGAAACTTGGCATACGGGCTCATAATCACTGACTGGAGGTATTTTCTGAATGAAAAATTCCTAGAAATACAGGATGTATGAACAGTCAGTGATTATGGGTGAGAGGGCGGAGGAAGGGAAATTCCAAAATACACATTTTCTACGAGATATAGACGATTATACGAACGGAGATAACGGGTAAAATAAAAAAAAAATAAAACAAACTCGTATAGCGTACACACATAAGGTATCTTTGTGCAAAATGTGGCGTCTCCAGTTCTTATAGTCTCTGAAATCGAGGGGTTCATACGGACAGATGGACAGACATAGATCGACTTCAGCATGACAAGAATGCTGATCAAGAAGCCTCCTTCTGCCTGTTACATTTTTCAGTTCGCAAACCCAATATACTCTTGTACATTTTATGTACAGAGTATAAAAATTTACATTGTAGACGTATGGACGATGGCTGATTTGATTATTAAATCCATTAGGCCCATTTGAAAGAATAGAAAAGAGACGATTAAATAAAACTATGCCTCTACTGATGACAAACATCTTTGTTTGTTTTGTATTCTTGAATATGAATTTTAAGGCGGACTGAGAAGACGCCCCATGTGGCCGATTTTATTTGTTTTGGCAAGTCTTTAGTTTTGTTCTTTATTTCTTTCTTTCGACATTCTCTATTACCCGTATTTGGAATAAATTTGTATTTTTTTAGTTTAGGCTTTTGTCCGTTGTTTTGCAATCATTAATCGGCAATTAAAACAAGAGTTGGGGATTCAAAGACCTTTTACGAGCCTAAACCAGTTACCCTTTTTTGATTTTGATGTTCAAGGGCGCGCCAAATTGTAAAATATGCACGAGAGGGGATACACATTTTTATTTACTTGTTCAAGATGGATATGCTGGAAATAATTTGTTATGGCAACCATACACTAATAAAGTGTTTTTGTGTTTTCTAAGTTGTATGTAAAATAAATTAATGCAAGTCCGAAATCAAGTCAAAGCGGTTAGTTGAAAGCCACAAAAGCAGCAACAACCAAATTAACGAAACAAGATTTATGTATGAACAATGTTGCTTTTGACACATGTTAGCCAGATAGTTAGATAGATAGATAGATACACACACACATATTGGTCAGCTAGTCAGTCTTGCCAAAATAAGGGAAGTCGGTTCATCTCGTTGATTGACTTCCAGAAACAAGACCAGTTCTACAGACTACTACTCCGGCCAGCAATCATCTTTCAACGTAAAGAACATGTTGTGTCACACCCAGCGACCAGCCCGTGAACGATTTTTAATGCTCTTAACGCAGCTCGGAGACTCTCGAGCAATGCCAGCTGCTTGCCCTTGCCATCTGACTAGTAGGCAATTATTAAAATAATGCTCAAAGACTACTACTCACTAATTGTCAGCTGACAATGAAAAGTGCGTGACACCGCTGGAACGACTTACTTATTAAATAAAATGTAAAAATATGGTCGAAATATCTGCTTTTAGTTTTCAAAATAATCTTTTTCTTTGGGCAAAATATTTGTCTTCTGTATGACATTCTCAAAATTTTTACAAGTAAATTCTATCAGGGCTTGTAGGCTGTAAAATCGGCCGTAGAATCAAATGAAAAGTTAAACATGCAACTGGGAAAATTATGAGATATGTATGAGCCTGATAAACAAAAAGTAAAAACAATAAAAAGAAGTTGCAAACTCAATTCTAATTAAGAACTAGTTAGATTATTTAAGAAAAAAGGCAAGCTTGCAAACAATTTGTGGTCGATTTAATAGTAAGTGCATCAAATTTGACCCGCAAGTGGGGAAACTGCGGTGGGGAAAGTGCGGGCTGATGCGTAAATGCTTACCAAACTTTTCAAAATATGTATTCCTGAAAATAAGCCAACTTAAGGCTTTTCTCCCTCCAAAATAATCAGATTAAAATACACTCTAAGACAGCAGCTATGCCTATGGAACAACGACTAAGTAAAACATTGATATCTAGTGGGGTCTGTCTTTCTGGACGTCTTGAAGGCCTAGTAAGATGGAATTTTTAATACAGTTCTTCTGTATTTGTGTGTTTAGCTGCAAATGCTTGTTTTTCATTTTTTTTAAAAGGTATTTTGTATTACAGTTTCAAATCAAAGATGAATTTGTTAGCAATTTCAGTAGAATTAGCAAACAAAGTGAATTTTAAGCTTCTCCTAAGTCGAGAGAAATTTGTATTGTTGTAAGAGCAAACAATTGAAGAGGTTCGAAACGAATTTCAACAACTTACGTA